CCTGGGCCATACCGGGCCTTTGTCTGTATATCAGATCAATTTCTGTTATATATTATATCACATATTCAAGAAGTAGAATATCTCAGCTTCAAAATCTTAGTAATTTCTCCTAAGCTTTTCATGTGATTAATATCTAACTTTCTAGGATTAGAAATCAATTCATTCTTCTATTTAGCCATGTTTGTTCACTCTTCTAGGTGGCTAGATTTTATGTGTGTTTCTTTCATGTTAAGTACAAAGCTACACAATGGGCTACCAGAGGGATCGAAACCCGGATTTTAGTGTTATAAGCTTCTAGGCTTATCGTTCGGCCACTGAGGAGAAGGTGGCTAGAAGTTGTTGTACACAAATTAATTACTGTTTATGGCGCTTTTTACTCGAATGTTCAATTAGGGTTTTGTGCAATTCATTGCGATCCCTATTGTGAACCACTATCGTGGTTCATTGTATTTTTGTAAGCCTTCTTAGCCGGTTTTAACTAATTCCCATACGATTTGATAATTCATTATTGCCACATCAAATTTTCAAATAATAAAAATGATATATCTTATCGTTTATTAAGTATGTGTATTAAGTAAAACGGTTTGTGTTAATGAGAAAAAAAAGCATCTTGAAGTCTCAAGCAAGTGTTAATAAAAGAACTACATCTGTATCGTTTCGTTATTGTCTCATATTCTTACACAGAAGTAGCTTATCTTGTCTGGGTTCTTAGATTTGCTGGAATAAAGATTAAGAAAGAGACAATTGATAATACTTTTTCTAATATATATTTTTCTTGTAGAATGCTGCTTTAAAACTACAAATTTGTTTGTTGAGATTTTCGCGCAAAGCTACACAAGGGCTATCTGTGTATAACCATTTCTAATTTTGAAATGATAGGCTTAGAGAGAAGGCAGCTAGTCAACAGTACCCATCATCAGCTGTTCTTTAACTAAATAGTAAGATTTGACCGTCACTTTTTGACAGCCCCCAAAGTGTGGAAAGCGTTAAAAACTTTCGGATTTACAGACCGGGTATGCTATAAACTAGGCCACGCCCGGCCCTGAAAACCGTAAGAGTGTAACTACTCAACTCAACGGAAGAAAATTATAACATTGAAACGATGTAATAAAGTAATTTAAATAAAATTATTAAACATAAGTTAATCCACGTTATCACCACAAGTCCTGGTTTGATTCATGGATTAGAAATTCGTATTTTTTTTTATAGTCGCTGACTGTCATACTAAAAAAAAACAGTTAGCTTATTAATATATCTTCTCATGTTAAACGACTAGGAGCGTTGAATATTAAACGAGATTCAACATACATGCGTTGTCACGGTGCAAGTCTTGTGAACATTATTCTCAGTCAAAGTAAGTACAAAATTCAATTAATTTAGTTACATTTTTCACATTTGACGTCCAACTATTACTTCTTTCTTTTATCTATCTATGTGCTAGAGACTGAAATGTTTCTGTGTTCACGTCGTCAATTTATAGATATATTCAAAAGGATTTGTTGTTTTTTATCCCAGAGCGACACAATGAGCTATCTCAACTTTGTCCATTGAGAGGTTTGTTTGTAGTTAAGCACAAAGCTACATTATTGGCTATCTGTGCTGTGCCAACTAACGATATCCTAATTGGATTTTTAGCGTTATAAAGCCATAGATTTATCTCTGATTTTAGCGTTGTATATCCAGAAACTTACCGCTGACCCACCAATCCAAAGGAGAAC